GGTTTGGGCTCCTCAATATTCCTCGGGATTTTATCGGCAGGAGGATGACATCACCCCCCTGGACTACTAAAGTCTGAGAAGGGTGAATATATTATCTTTTTTTTCTTTTTTTGCACTTTTTTGTTGCAGAATTTAAAGAGGGGGCCTTGAAAAATAAATGCTTGCCTAAAGTGCAGGGTCCGCTGTAAAATGACAGCTCTTTACAATCCACTATAAAAGGTGACATTGCTTGATGGGGTGTGATGATGTCACTCCCTCCAGGGAACGCAGCCAAGCAGGAACGTCCTGCACAGAAAACATTTTCATCTGATAAAGTGTAATTGGAGACATAATTCACTTTCCTCCAGGGTGAGATGGAAGAGATCCTTCGTTTCCCATCACAGATCAGAAAATCCCGCAGCCCAGCGGGGAAGATGTTAAGGCGAATGTCGCTGTATTGTATAGCGCCAGTGACGTCACCGCCTCCCACAAACTGTTCTACAATGCAGGTATACACACTAAATAAAGGAGGGTCATTCAGCTAATTTACAATCAATTAGAATAAAAAGGGAATAAATCTTAGAATAGCAACCAGATTTAATTACATTAATTACCGCTAATAGTCATATCACAGCGCTCTGTGGTTTTTATGTGGTAACAATACCCTGAGAAGCAAATGGAAAGCACAACGGCATTGTGATGTAGCTTCAAACACATTTTATCAAATGAAAACGTCTAATGTAACTTGTCACATAAAAACCTCCTAAAAGAGATCATCTGAAGCCTCTATAACAGCATCTCAACCAGGGCTCCTCCAGAGATTTCTAGGGGTTTTGTGGGGTATGGCTGGTTGGAAATTCTTCCCACTGACCCCAAATCTAAGGAGCATTTTTCCCACTGACCACCAATGTAAGGGACATTCTTCCCACTGATCACCAATGTAAGGGACATTCTTCCCACTGACCACCAATGTAAGGGACATTCTTCCCACTGACCACCAATGTAAGGAGCATTCTTCCCACTGATCACCAATGTAAGGGACATTCTTCCCACTGATCACCAATGTAAGGGACATTCTTCCCACTGACCCCCAATGTAAGGGACATTCTTCCCACTGACCGCCAATGTAAGGGACATTCTTCCCACTGACCGCCAATGTAAGGAGCATTCTTCCCACTGATCGCCAATGTAAGGAGCATTCTTCTCACTGTCGCCAATGTAATGTAAGGGACATTCTTCTCACTGATCGCCAATGTAAGGGACATTCTTCTCACTGATCGCCAATGTAAGGGGCATTCTTCCCACTGACCTCCAATGTAAGGAGCATTCTTCCCACTGATCACCAATGTAAGGGACATTCTTCCCACTGACCCCAATGTAAGGGACATTCTTCCCACTGACCACCAATGTAAGGGGCATTCTTCCCACTGATCACCAATGTAAGGGACATTCTTCCCACTGATCACCAATGTAAGGGACATTCTTCCCACTGATCACCACCAATGTAAGGGACATTCTTCCCACTGATCACCAATGTAAGGGACATTCTTCCCACTGATCACCAATGTAACGGACATTCTTCCCACTGATCACCAATGTAAGGGACATTCTTCCCACTGATCACCAATGTAAGGGACATTCTTCCCACTGATCACCAATTTAAACGGACATTCTTCCCACTGATCACCAATGTAAGGGACATTCTTCCCACTGATCACCAATGTAAGGGACATTCTTCCCACTGATCACCAATGTAAGGGACATTCTTCCCACTGACCACCAATGTAAGGGACATTCTTCCCACTGATCACCAATGTAACGGACATTCTTCCCACTGATCACCAATGTAAGGGACATTCTTCCCACTGATCACCAATGTAAGGGACATTCTTCCCACTGATCACCAATGTAAGGGACATTCTTCCCACTGACCACCAATGTAAGGGACATTCTTCCCACTGATCACCAATGTAAGGAACATTCTTCCCACTGATCACCAATGTAAGGGACATTCTTCCCACTGATCACCAATGTAAGGGACATTCTTCCCACTATTCATCAATGTAAGGGACATTCTTCCCACTGATCACCAATGTAAGGACATTCTTCCCACTGACCACCAATGTAAGGAGCATTCTTCCCACTGACCCCCAATGTAAGGAACATTCTTCCCACTGACCCCCAATGTAAGGGACATTCTTCCCACTGACCGCCAATGTCCCCAGTTAATTAATTTTAGCCGCATGTCTTTCCCAAGGGTTCATTTGGGGTAAAAAGGTCGAGGAAGGTTCATCTATATGCAGGAGATCCTCCAGCACTAGTCCTGCTTAACAGTGTGTAGCCATTGAATCCACCAAGGGTATTTTAATGAGGACCTGAAATTGAAACTATTATGTTTCAGGGCAGGACAGGAAGTGAAGGAAAGTCTTTCCAAGGAGACAGCAAAAAATCCTGACAGGGGTTGTACCATTCCCTACCCTATTTAAAATCTTCATACTTCAGATATACTTTAAATCCTTATGTGAATATCTTAGGATACCCTGCACTTGTATGTAGAAGAATTGATGTTTAATATCCTGCCTTCCCTGGTCCACCCTCATAAACATGCTAATGGACTTAAAAAAAATGCTTGATACTGTAGATGGGCATCTGAATGGTCCTAGACAGGCTGAATTTTCATGGTAACAACCAGAGCCTCCATGATTAAAAAAAATCAAAATCTGATGAATGGAAGGGGTGGGGCCAGGGACAGTGAGGCTGGGAAGGAAAGTGCTAGATGATGATGGATGTTCCTCAGCCAGGAAATGAGGCGGAGCTCTGTCTGACTTCTTGCAGCTTCTAATGTACGTTGTGAGAAGCTCACAGTGTGCAGTGAAATCAGAATAAGCCATTTCAGTCCAGGAGACCCACATGGAAGAAAAATATATTTGAAATATATTTTAAAAATATTCTTGACAAATATATTGCCATATATTTGAAATGCTACAATTTTGGCCATATTCAATATATTTCAATAAATATATACATACTGTATGTTGAAATGCATTTTTATTACAAAATATATGAAAAATATTTTTAAAAATACATTTCAAATATACTGTCTGTCTTTAAAAATACAAATCTACATTTTACAAATATATGTAAACATATATGTTAAAATTACTTTTTTATATGCTAAAAGAATTTGAAGAATATATTTAAAAAAAATATATTTTTTTATATATATAATATTCAAACTTTTTGAAACGGCTTAAACACAAACTGCATAGGTGTGAACCTAGCCTAATCCCAGGTTCACACGCAAGCATTTTGTACAGCGTTTTGCAGAAACGCAGTACAGTCCATTTAACATGATTTCCTATGGGACACGTTCACATCGCTGCATTTTCACCCGGTGCGTTTTTTGGAAAGGGTCAAGGACTTTTTTTTAACAGAAAACATTGTGTTTTTGGTCTATAGACTTCAATGGAGATGCTGCAGAAAAGCATGTAGTGCATTTTTTAAGCGTTTTACATTATAATCTGCCAAGCAACAAGTTAAAAAAATGTAAAAAATTTTTTTTAAAACGCAAAGCGCATTAAAAACGTGACAAAAACATGTCAACACGACATTTTTTAAAGCAGAACATTGCGTTTTTGTTCTACAGACTTCAATGGGAATGCTGCAGAAAAGCATGTATTGCTTTTTTGCTGTGTTTTGCATTTAAAATCTGCCTAGCAACAAGAAAAATTTTAATGCATAAAAAAATAAAAATGCCAAAAGCATCAAAAACGCGGCAAAAAACGCAAGTGCAAAAACGCAATGCAGAAACGCCTTAAATGCAACCTGCATAGGTGTGAACCGAGCCTAATGGAGTGTTTTGGGTGACAGCCGTCTGCTCTTTATCAGGAACGAGCCACACTTGGTTCACCGCTGATACTCGTTACAATTCTATTAGAAGCAATATCTCCAATCATATTAAGGCTGGCCATACATTATACAATTATTTTTAGATTTTTTGGTTTAGATTTACCAAAAACCATATAATAGGAGGTCAAAACTAACAACACTTTCAATTGTATCAAATTAGGCAGTTGAAGGTAATTGCATTACATAGTTGAAGGTAAATCTAAAGGAAATTGGGCAGAAATTGGACAGAAAACTGTATAATGTCTGGCCAGCCTAAGAGCCAGAAAGTTAATCTTTCTGCAAATAGTAGTCATAGAGAATCGCAAGTTCTGGTTCTTAGCAGTGACAAATACCAAGGTTAGCTCCACACTAATTCCATCAATGGTCCGTATAATCAGGAGGTTGTCTACGTATCTCCACAACAAAGAATGGGTTCCTGATGGGGTTATCTTATGCAAAGATATGGAGCTCAAACCCAACCCATGAACTGGAGGGTGAGAGATGGGGAAACTGCTGATCTTCATATCATTCGGGACTATAGGACGTGAAGCAGCTTTACATTATTATATTATTATACAGGATTTATATAGCGCCAACGGTTTACTCAGCGCTGTACATTATAGTGGGAGACAATACAGTAACGATACAGTTCAATACAAGAGGGATAGGAGGGCCCTGATCCTGGGAGCTTACAATCTAGGAGGGAGGGGCTAGTGGTACAATAGGTAATAACTGTGGGGGATGGAGTGGTTGGAAGAGTAGAAGATTCCAGTGTTAGCAGAGGGCGGGATAGGCTTCCCTGAAGAGAGAGGTTTTCAGAGATCGCCTAAAAGTAAGTAGGGTAAGCGATAGTCTGATAGATTGGGGTAGGGAGTTCCAGAGGATGGGGGACGCCCTTGAGAAGTCCTGGAGATGAGCATGGGAGGAGGGGATAAGGGAGCTAGCGAGTAGGAGGTCTTGCGAGGAGTGGAGAGTACGGTTTGGGTGATATTTAGAGATAAGATCGGTTATGTAAGTTGGGCAGTGTTGTGGATGGCTTGTTAGTGTTTTGAATTTTATCCGTTGGGCAACTGGGAGCCAGTGGAGGGATTGGCAGAGAGGGGTGGAGGACACTGAATGGAGGCCAGTGGAGGGATTGGCAGAGAGGGGTGGAGGACACTGAATGGAGGCCAGTGGAGGGATTGGCAGAGAGTGGTGGAGGACACTGAGTGGAGATCAGTGGAGGGATTGGCAGAGAGGGGTGGAGGACACTGAGTGGAGGTCAGTGGAGGGATTGGCAGAGAGAGGTGGAGGACACTGAATGGAGGCCAGTGGAGGGATTGGCAGAGAGGGGTGGAGGACACTGACAGGAGGCCAGTGGAGGGATTGGCAGAGAGGGGTGGAGGACACTGAATGGAAGCCAGTGGAGGGATTGGCAGAGAGGTGTGGAGGACACTGAATGGAGGCCAGTGGAGGGATTGGCAGAGAGGGGTGGCGGATACAGAACAGTTAATAAGGTGTGTTGATATGTGTTGATCATAACTATATTTCAGACCTGATTACCTTGGAGGCCAAAGGGGAAGTAATCTGCCAGGCTGGAAATGTTCTCCTCATTGTTCCCTACTAGTGATGAGTAGGGTCGGTTCCTCCCTATCCACTACTCTGCAAGCACACCAAGCCCAGTTCTGCGCTACTTTCTGGTAGTCCCATGTAGGGTTGCCGCCTCATCCCTTTAAAACCGAACACATATTAATTACACAGGTTCTGGGGTTGATTAAGGTGGTAATTAAATTCACATGGTGCCTCATCTGCATTAAATTAGCCTCAGAACCTGTGCAAATAATATGTGTTTGGGTTTCAAGGGATGAGGTGGCAACACTAGTCCCATGATATGCCTTGAAATATATTTCCCTTAGTTATACAATGCTAACTTTGCATGGTGGTCTAAAACATTATTTAATCATGAGGAGATTGGGGGGGGGGCAATGTACGGAGTTGACCTAGATGGTGGGGCTCTGGACCTGCTCTGCTCACCTCAGGAGTTATGCATGCCCTAGTCACAGCTATTCTCATCATAATAAACTACACTCCTATATAACTCAACCCTCAGGGCTCAGATGGGGGGCAAGACGACAAATCCAAGACCAAGACTGTAGAAGGACCAAAAGTCTCCACACAGAACCAAGATGGCACTGGCTCCACCCATTGATGAGACTGCAGGACACTTGTTGGATGAGTCCAAAGGCTCCTCTGATAGCCTCATGTGGTTCCCCAGGGCGCTACAAGCATGAGCAGATTATATGCACTCAAAGCAGCTAGAGTGCCCAGGACCCCAGTGCTACAGGCCAGGAGCACTATTCACTTAAAGCGGAACTAAGCTGTATCTGAGCATCACAAACCAAAAATGCTCTGTAGCTCCCTCCCAGGGTCATTAGAGGCTTGCTAGAAGCCTGGGTTTAGTCAGAGGGTTACTTCAGGTCAGGGCTGGAGGGCTCTACAGGTCCGTCCTCTGATACCTCCCCCTACTCTAGAAACATGGAGAAGTTTCTAGAAGCCAGTAGGTTGAGATGAGGAGGGGCTGATCTACGTTTTTATGGGAGTCTGACCAATTCCAGGCAGGAGGCCTGGCGTGGCAGACCAGCCCATAAATATGACAGAGCCTGGCCGGCAGGGAATTCAGATGGAAGATGGATTGTTGAGAGTTGCTGCTGTATAGCCTGGGAGAGAACTCCAGAGAAGGGGGGGGAGGGATGTTCTGCTTCCAGGCTGGAGGCTGGAAGCTGAAGAGAAGCTGAAAGAGGGAGCTCCACTGTCCTGCAGTCCTCCGGGGAAGGACAGCCTGCAAAGCCTGGAGAGGAACCAGCCCAGCTACAGAGGAACCAGCCCGGCTACAGAGGTACCAGCCCAGCTACAGAGGTCTGAAAGCAGTTCTATCCACAGCTGCTGCAGGACAAGCACAATGTGAGAACCTCTACACCCCCAGGGCCTAGAAGGGAGAAGTGTGCTGGATGCAAGCTCTGGCAAGTCTTCAGGGGACAATTCATAGCTTACCCAATCCCTTGTCCTGGGATCAGATGCCGTAGCCAGGTGGGCTGGTATTATGTACACCGAGGGGACTTAGAGTTCCTACAAGTCGGGACTTTGCTAGAATCAAATCAAGGGGACTCAAAGCTCCTGCCAGTTATTGTAGTTTGCTAAAGAGACTGTCAGGGTTTCGGATGGACCACAGTCACTCATCTGCCATTTTTGCAGCATTTTCTAGAGAAGGAATTTGTCCTCAAATTATTATTCTGCAATTAAGCTACATAGTTGTTATGGTTCAATAAAGACACTACTCCTTCTAGTTCAATCTGTGAGGGTGTGTGAATCATATTCCATATCCCTGTATATTGTGTTCTCCAAGATGCAAATCCAAGAGTCTTTTAAAACTATCGATACTTCCCGCGGACACCACCGATTGTGGAAGGGAGTTCCACATCCTTACTGTCCTAACAGTGAAAAAACCCCTAAGGTTAAACTGCTTCCCCTCCACTTTTATTGAGTGGCCCCGTGTATTCTTATACTCCCTGAGACAGAATAGTTTACTTCCTACTCTGGGATCACCATGGAGGTATTTGTATACAGCTACTATATCTATTCCCAAGCGTCTCTTCTCCAGGGAGAATACATTCAGTGCTTGTAGTCTTTCCTCGTGACTGAGGTCCTCCAGCTCTCTTAATAACTTTGTTGCGCTTCTGTGGGCTCTCTCATGTTCCAGAACATCCTTCCTAAGGATTGGTGACCAGAACTGGACAGAATACTCCAGATGTGGCCAAATAAATAAAGTGGCAGGATTATCGGTTTATCTGCTTGGCAATGCATGCTATTGCTTAGCCTATCTACTATTAGGATGCCCAGATCTTTTTCCATCCTGGATTCCCCCAGAGGATCTCCCGCTAGCGAGTAACTTGCATTCGTATTCCCAAGTGCAATACTTTACATTTTTCAACATTAAACCTCTTTTGCCGTGTATAGTTACATAGTTAGTCTGGCTGAAAAAAGACAAAAGTCCATCCAGTTCAACCATTAAAATTTTTTTTTTTAAATTATAATACTATACTCACAGTTGATCCAGAGGAAGGCAAAAAAACCCAGCAAAGCATGATCCAATTTGCTCCTGCAGGGAAAAAAAATTCCTTCCTGATCCCCCGAGAGGCAATCGGATATTCCCTGGATCAGCTTTACCCATAAATGTTATATCCAGTTATATTCTGTGTATCCAAGAAAGAATCCAGGACTTTCCTACAGCAATCCACTGAGCTGGCCACAACCAACTCTTGAGGGAGTCTATTCCACATTTTCACAGCTCTCACTGTGAAGAAACCTTTCTGTATTTGGAGATAAAATCTTTTTTCCTCCAGACATAAAGAGCGCCCCCTTGTCCTCTGTGATGACCTCAGAGTCAATAGCTCTACACAGAGTTCACTATATGAACCACTGATGTATTATACATGGAGATCATATCCCCCTTATGTATTATACATGGAGATCATATCCCCCCTTATGTATTATACATGGAGATCATATCCCCCTTATGTATTATACATGGAGATCATATCCCCCCCCTTATGTATTATACATGGAGATCATATCCCCCCTTATGTATTATACATGGAGATCATATCCCCCCTTATGTATTATACATGGAGATCATATACCCCCTTATGTATTATACATGGAGATCATATACCCCCTTATGTATTATACATGAGAGATCATATCCCCCCTTATGTATTATACATGGAGATCATATCCCCCCTTATGTATTATACATGGTGATCATATCCCCCCCTTATGTATTATACATGGAGATCATATCCCCCTTTATTTATTATACATGGAGATCATATCCCCCCTTATGTATTATACACGGTGATCATATCCCCCCTTATGTATTATACACGGTGATCATATCCCCCCTTATGTATTATACACAGAGATCATATCCCCCCTTATGTATTATACACGGAGATCATATCCCCCCTTATGTATTATACACGGAGATCATATCCCCCCTTATGTATTATACACGGAGATCATATCCCCCTTATGTATTATACACGGAGATCATATCCCCTTTATGTATTATACACGGAGATCATATCCCCCTTATGTATTATACACGGAGATCATATCCCCCCTTATGTATTATACACGGAGATCATATCCCCCCTTATGTATTATACATGGAGATCATATCCCCCCTTATGTATTATACGTGGAGATCATATCCCCCCTTATGTATTATACGTGGAGATCATATCCCCCTTATGTATTATACATGCTGATCATATCCCCCCTTATGTATTATACATGGAGATCATATCCCCCCTTATGTATTATACATGGAGATCACATCCCCCCTTATGTATTATACATGGAGATCATATCCCCCTTATGTATTATACATGGAGATCATATCCCCCCTTATGTATTATACATGGAGATCATATCCCCCCTTATGTATTATACATGGAGATCATATCCCCCTTTATGTATTATACATGGAGATCATATCCCCCCTTATGTATTATACATGGAGATCATATCCCCCTTATGTATTATACATGGAGATCACATCCCCCCTTATGTATTATACATGGAGATCACATCCCCCCTTATGTATTATACATGGAGATCATATCCCCCTTATGTATTATACATGGAGATCATATCCCCCCTTATGTATTATACATGGAGATCATATCCCCCCTTATGTATTATACATGGAGATCATATCCCCCTTTATGTATTATACATGGAGATCATATCCCCCCTTATGTATTATACATGGAGATCATATCCCCCTTATGTATTATACATGCTGATCATATCCCCCCTTATGTATTATACATGGAGATCATATCCCCCCTTATGTATTATACATGGTGATCACATCCCCCCTTATGTATTATACATGGTGATCACATCCCCCCTTATGTATTATACATGGAGATCACATCCCCCCTTATGTATTATACATGGAGATCATATCCCCCTTATGTATTATACATGGAGATCATATCCCCCCTTATGTATTATACATGGAGATCATATCCCCCTTTATGTATTATACATGGAGATCATATCCCCCCCTTATGTATTATACATGGTGATCATATCCCCCCTTATGTATTATACATGGAGATCATATCCCCCCTTATGTATTATACATGGAGATCATATCCCCCCCTTATGTATTATACATGGAGATCATATCCCCCCCTTATGTATTATACATGGAGATCATATCCCCCCTTATGTATTATACATGGAGATTATATAACCCCTTATGTATTATACATGGTGATCATACCCCCCCTTATGTATTATACATGGAGATCATATCCCCCCTTATGTATTATACAAGGAGATCATATCCCCCCTTATGTATTATACATGGAGATCATATCCCCCCTTATGTATTATACATGGAGATCATATCCCCCTTATGTATTATACATGG